CGATGTACCCACATGGCAGAACACCCAGCTCGCGATGGGCAGTTCACGCCACGGGCAAACGACCCTGATCTGGGTCATATGCCCGAGCAAGCAGGCTTTACTCCGCACGACCGACGCATTTCGAAGTGCGTCGGATCACCAAATGGGTTAAAAGAATGTCCACTCGAGGACATAACTTAGGCAAATTTCGTCACAAAGTAACAGTCGAGCACAAGCGTGACTCGAGGACGTAACTTAGGCAAATTTCGCCACAAAGTAACAGCCGAGCACAAGCATGACTCAAGGACGTAACTTAGGAAAATTTCGCCACAAAGTAATTGCCGAGCACAAGCGTAACTCGAGGACATAACTTAGGCAAATTTCATCACAATATAAAAACTTAGACACGAGCAAATTTAAAGGTCGAAGTGAACATCTATTTAAAAGCTCATAAGCAAAAAACGAATAAAAATAAACCGACCAAGAAGGCCTGCGATGTTCAAAAATTACAGGCTATGGCACGACGACCAAAAGAAATGTGTACGGGCATGCAGGCCCCAAAATATGCACGGGCACGCAGGCCCCAAAACAAATACCAATAAACGGGCGCGCAAGCCCGATCAGAAATTCCACGGCTAGACTTCCCCGGGGCTACCAGCATCCACGACAGGAGACTCAAGAGGAGGCACGACCTGGCCGTCGATGATATGAGACATGAAACCCACTCCCTCGGTATTCATGCCCGGATTCAATAAAGCGAGCTGGCTAACCGCGGCCTCAAAACCGTCCACTAAGGCACCAACACTGTCTGTTTCGAGGAGATAGATGCGCGCGACCAGATCCGAACGACTCCGCAAGGGGGCTGTCTCCTCCGACTCATCTTCAGCGGGAAGCATGGAGGCCTTCAGCTCCTCGACTTCCTTAGACAGACGCTCATTATCAGCCTCCAAGTGTCACCGGTCCAGTCGAAAACAGTCCCCCTCCTCAGCAACCTTCCCCGAGTTTTCCTTCTCCACGGCCAGCAGCTCGGCTTGCTCGCGGAACGTCTCCTCAGATCGCTCCAGAGCAGCCTTCAACTTACGAGAGTCGGCAACGAGGACAACTTTCTCTAACTCCAGTTCCCTGACACGGTCAGAGGAGTCCGACCCCTCCTCAGCAAGGACAACGGCCATCTCGACCATCTTAACCATCCCGACCATACTGGCGGCCAGGTGTTTTCTCCGACTCTCCTTGTTGAGCCGCCTGATGGTCTCAGCCTCCTCGGTACTCACTGTCAAGGGAAACCCCTCGAAGAAACCTTCCTCTTTAAAACAGGGGGCAAGCCAAAGGCCCTCACTGCGACAGACTCGTCGCCGACTTCCGACTGGTTCTCTGCCCGACTTCTCTTTCTCGTTATCAGCTCAGTGGGCTGCTCGACGTCAGGGGAACCCTGGGACTCGCTAGAAGCATTGCCTGAACTGGTCGGCGGACCCATCCTCGTGGCCTGTGGAGCTCGCACCAACCTTCTGTTTACTCTCTTGTCCTGAGACAGCTTTAAAAGCCTCTCCCTTCGTTCGGTCATATTGCCTGCAAAGAAGAAAGCTCGGGTTAGTTACGAGCAAGTAACAAACAAAGAAACTAGAACAAATCTATAACACAAAAAGCAACCTAGTAGATCTACGGCCTGCTCGTAGGATTGACACTCGACAAGCGCCTTGGTATCGATAGGACGGGCCTCGAATGTCGGGTAACCCTCGTCGTCAAGAATGTCTTCCCCCTCCCTCGTGACCCACCGGGCAGGGAAGAAGCTGTCGACATACTTACAAAGGGTACCATAGGCTTCCTCATCCTCGGCACTCATTCCTCCCGCTGGCGTATGGTAGTGCCCGGTACCATGCTCGTAATGGCGCGAGCACCAATGCAACGGGAACTTGGATACACGCCCAACCACAGGGCGACCCTCAACGTCCATAAGAGGCTCCCCATTCTCGCCGGCCACTACAGTTTCCTCTTCATACATAGAATCCAAAGCAGTCTGGGTGACCGGATGCAGGACGTACCATTTGTCCTTGAAACCCCAGACTGAATCCATGTACATCCTGAACAGCCTCTTCGACTGTTTCAAGGAAACCCAGCTATGCCTGCCTCCTCAGGACTGACGTTGCAAGTGAAAAACTCTGAAGAAGAGAGGAATGGTCGCCCCGATCCTCAAGAAGCGACATGTCAGCTCGAACGCCCGAAGAAAGGCGATCGAATTGGGCTGAAGCTGCGAGGGGGCCAGGTCCAGATGGCAGAATACCCCGACTTGGAAATCACTGAAAGGGAGTTTAAGACCGAGATTCTTGAACGCGATTTCATACATTGGAAACCCATACTCAGCGAACTTCGAGCAGATTCGTGCGTCAAGGGACAACCTTATCACAACAAAATTCTTCTGGAAGCCCAGCTGACTACCGCCGTGTTCGACGATAGTATATGCGCGCCGACTACACCGACTATATGCCGAGGCAATCCCTCTGGGATCGGCGCCAACCCAATCCGACGAAGGATCATCAACAGTATCAACTAGAGTTACATTCTCCTCGGCACTCTGGTCATCGACCTCATTACGCCCGAAGACTCCAGTTCGTCAGCCATTTACCTGCAAAGCACAGGAAACTGGTGAAATTCGAGAGCAAATCCATATGCTCGCCATAACTGACAGGGAGTAGTACACGGAAAGCCAAGACACACTCCGCGCGTGTTAAAACGCTGAGGACTCAAACAAGATCCTGGTTTCGCCTCCCCGACGCTAAGGTGCCACGACGAATTGTCCTACATAATTCCTAATGGGCCAACATCCCGGCCAGCCCATGGGTGCACCGACCTAAACTATGAATGTGACGAGCAACATCATGAATCCTAAACCTAGAACTAGAGGTTTACCGGGCAATATCATAGATTATCCGCCCAAAATCATGAAGGTCCCGGGAAGCATCGCGGGTCACATACCTAAAGCTATGCGTTTACCGGGCACAAACATGAATGTACCGGGAACGAACATGAATGTACCGGGCACTAATCCCAGATATGGGCTTCTAACATCCAAATAACGGTAAAATTACCTACAAACGAAGAAAAATATGAGGGATAAACACTTACTTGGAAGTAAAGAAGAATGTACGACAACGGTGGAAGAAATCAACGGAGGAAGAGGCGGTAATCTTGCGAAGTTATAGAAGAACAACGGCGACAAAGGCAGAAGGAGGAGGAGAGGCGCGAAGAGGAAAAACAAATTATAGGACCCAAGAATCCTATTTATAGGGATGACGTGGAATACGAAACGTCACCCCAGGGAACCACGAACTCCCCTCCTCGACGCCTACTCCCCTAAGCAATGATGACCCTACTGTCGCTAGGGTGGCGTCACGGTTCCCAAGGGTTGCCTCGTGTACCCAACGAACACAACCCGCGAGGAATCCCCGAGCACGCATCGACGAGGATTACGCCACGAACGCAACTCATGAGAAACTTCTCGAGCAATCACGAGGAAGCAAATATCCTGGGCCGGGCATCAGACCCCATGGCAAAGGCGAGCTGAAGTTAAGTCATAGCTCCTGCTCCAGAAGTCACGACTTGGGGGGCTCCTGTTCTGGACTGGACCCTCCCTGGCCTAAAAGCAAAGACAAAGGCCCAATCCAAGCAGCTCTTTGAGGAACGCGCGCCCGCGAATTCCCGCCAGCGCGTCTGACCACAGACTGTAGCCGCACCCGCCGTTGCCCGTGACACATGGTGTCCCCGACCACGGGAACTCTAGCTCGAGCACCCTCCTCGTAGGGCAGATTCTGACCGTTACTAAATCATCTGAACTCCGGAAAGACCGCGTCTTCGTCCCTCTTCATTTCTCGGAGAGCATCACCAGGAAGGGGGCCACGTGCGGGTCCCCACTACACACGTAGAACCTGACAGTTCCTTTGTTGGGCCAAATCTGGTCGGCCCAATGAGGGGACCTTGGCCCCACGCTGGGGGCTATAAATACCCTATGTTCCTAGAGGGTCAGGTATTCATCTCTTACGCATACATACACTTTTTTCTTGCTCATTCCGCCACTCATTTTAGCATCGGAGTGCCTTGCAGGTACCCTCCCCCCTATCTCACTCAAATTTTGCCCGGAGCCAGTCGTGACGGTCCAAGTCTGATCAGGTAAGATCATATATATATATATATATATATATATATATATATATATATATATATATATATATATATATATATATATATATATATATATATATATATATATATATATATATTAAAACATAAAAAATGAACTATCAAAGATATTTTATAATAAAAAAATAATTGGGTTCAAGTGGTTAATAAACCCTTCGCGCAAGACTATAATTGTTCTCAAGAACTTGAAGTTAATTTCTTCTAAGCCTGTGCGAATTCTCAAAATACCTCGTGTTTTTAGAAATGTATCTCCGGACATACTAAAAACTATTTTTTTCACAATAAAATTCGGAGCAGAACCAAAGTCAATTTAAATGTGTGTATCTCCGAATACACCATTTTTTAATTAAAAAAAACTAGTTCAGAGAGACATTTCCAAACTAGGTGAACATATTTAATTACTCTTGCCAGACCCACCTTCTTCTCCTTCTTCATTTTCAGAAAAACAACTTTCTCTCCACCACATTCTATCAATTTCAAGTCCCACTCATGATCAATTTTTGAAGCTACATTTACTTATTTCTTACAGTTCCCAACTCCTACCTACTGCATTCAATATCAGAGCAGTTTAGTCCTTCACCAACACATGTCACATAGAAAATAAAAAAATAACAGGGATATGTACACGGACAAAATGGTATTACAAAATTCTAGTCAAGAATCCATGGAGTCATACAGATCAGAACCCTTCAATCCGATCCAATATCGGATGAATCAACTTTTAAGCTCATCAAATCATATTTGAAAAGCAAGTTCAAAATCTGCACTTCTTCAGTTGGTCCAGTGACTTCGAATTCCCCAACAGCATAGAAATCAAATCTCATATATATCTAGGGATCCTCTAGCCTCAGTTGCCCATCTAAGCTATGCAAGACATCAAATATGTCAACAAAGTATATGCTTGATTTGTCTCCAGCAATGAATTCATATACTATGTTGTTCAACTCAATAAAACTTACACCTGGAACCTTTTCTACACCTGCATTGCGCATATCCTTCCTTACCATCCACGATTCACTCCATCTACCAAGTGAAGCATATGTACTGGACAAGAGTGAATAATTTCCGCAATGGTGTGGCTCCAACACCATGAGATGACGCAAAGCTTCTTCTGCTAGATCAGCATCGCCGCATCTAGTTGAGGCAGCAAGAAGTGATCCCCATATAGCTGCATTTGCTTCAAAGGGCATCTGCAAAACCAATTTTTTCGCTTCTTGAAGATGGCCAGCTCGCCCAAGCAAATCAATCATGCAGCCATAATGCTCAATCTTAGGTTCAATTCCATATCTAGACCTCATTGACATGAAATAATCACGACCTAGTTCAACCAATCCAACATGGCTACAAGCAGAAAGGATGGCGATAAAGGTGACTTCATTTGGCTTGACTCGACCCTCTTTCTCCATGCAAGAAAATACATGAAGGGCTTCCTTTCCTAAACCATGTAAAGCAAGCCCAGAAATCATTGTTGTCCATGTTATAACTGTTTTATGTTTCATATTCTCAAACAATTGTAGGGCTTTACTTATGTTGCCTGATTTGGCATACATGTCTATGAGTGAGTTGTAAAGAGGAACAATCTTGCTCAATTTATGGTTTTCAATGTAGTTGTCAATCCACTCTCCCAAGTGAAGAGCACCCAAATCAGCACATGCAGATAGCACAGCCAAAATTGCAATTTCATCAGGCTTCACATTCTCAAGCTGCATTCTTTGGAAAAACTTAATAGCCTCATCGGGATTATGATTCTGCGTGTAACCTGAAATAAGCGCCGTCCAAGAAACAACATCTTTGTCCCTTTGAGGCATTTGATCAAACAGCTTCCGTGCATTACACACATCACCCAGTTTAGCATAAGCAACAATCATAGCATTCCAAACAGACCCATTTCCTCCAAAGTCATCAAAAAGCTTCCGTGCGGAAGAAACATCATTCCCACAACAAGAATACATTTGAATAACCGAACAAACAGTCGATAAACCCGAGTCCAACCCAGTAACAAGACCAACACAATGAACCTGTCTCCCCAAAACAACGTCTTTCAAAGAAACAACGGCTTTTAAAACATAAGGCAAAGAGTAAGAATCAAGCGACAATCCTAGATTACGAACCAATTTGAACAAGGAAAGGGAGCGTGTCGGGTTGGTCGAAGAAAGTGCTGAGATTATGTTGTTGTAGACAAAGACGTTGAGTGGACGGTTGTGATTGGAGGTGAAGATTGAGTAGGAGTAGTTTGGGAAACCGAGGGAAGCGGATTTGTGAATGAAACGGGAGAGGTTGATGTCGTTTTGGTCGAGGCATGTTTTTAGCATGAAGGAATGGGTTTGTTGAAGATGGGTTAGGTTGGTGGAATGGGAGAGAAGTTGTTGGAGTAGTTGTGACGAGGAGGAAAATGGGGATATACGTGTTTTTTGGTAACATGGTTTTGTGTTGAAGAGTGTTCGCATTAGTGGTGACTTCATTCATAATATGATTGATTACCATACTGGCGTGGTTTGGTTGATGATAAAGATGACATTTGAAATCAAGCTGTTCCATGTTTGTTTCTTTCACTTTCACTTCATTATTGTGATTTTTCTTTTGGCATGTTTAACATTAGTATTATACTCTCTCCCGTTAAAAATAATAATTCGGTCAATATTATAAACAAAAGTGAAAAATTATTAACTTTTATGCTTATAATTTACTTCAAAAGCAAGTTGATTCATTAAATATGTTATTGCGTAAAAATAACAAAATAGTAGCTTTCTTATAGGTATTGGGAGAACCGCAATGAGTAGATTTCTATAGATTATTCGAGAAATTTGGGAGCTACGACAGTGGTGTGTATTGTCTCAAGATGAATGTCTTGTTTATCTTTCTTGTAGGAGCCCCTATTTATAGTCTTTCTTTTGCGCCATTAAGAGCCCCATCAAGGGGTGACTTTTGGACTTCATATATGTATTAATACCGCTGTCACCATAAATGAAGGTGTTCAAAGCTATGTAACATTGGGTTTAATCTACCGACAACCGTTACAACCTTTAATGTGTCGGATTGCTAGTCGACTACGAGCAGGTAGACTCCGGTTACATGTCATATTCGAGATGGTAGCGTAGATGGGCTCTTATCCGGATATGATGACAACCATTCTCGACCCTTCAGTCGAGTTACTCCTCGACCCGGGCATTATTCGTTCTTGCAGATTTAGACACTCTCTTTGTTCTCTTTCCAGACAACTTCATAACCCTGTCAGATTGATTTTTTCGAGATGTACATAAGCCCCCAAGTACAAATTCTTTTGTAAGAAGGAAGTGTTTGGTTAAGAGAAGCGTGGGACGTATTAAGGTCTGAACCGATTACAACCTGACCTCACGCCTGCGCACGTGCTGTGAGCGAAAGAGCCACGCCTTTCGAGTAATTTTCTCTCTCATAATATAATGATGACTTTTACTGGGAGTTGCTTACTTGGCGACGTTTCTTTCTCCAAATGCACTGTTCATTGGGCCCCTATTTAAACCCCATTTCTTTCTTTCCTTTCTCATCTCAGTACCGTTTAGTTTCCCGAGAAGCTTGCCTCTAATCAGGATGCTCATCCCCTTCAGGTATTCCCTCCTCTCTTTCTTTCTTACTTCACTGTTTTTTCTTTTAATTTCAGAAAATGGTAACCATAAGAGAGTGTGACGATGAGGGAAATATCGTAAAACCTAGTAACGCTAAAGAGATAAGAGATTTATGGGACCAATGCATGCGTGAGGTTAAGGATGCTTTGGATCAAGAAAAATTTGATCCAATCACAAGAGAAGTTTATGGTGATATCCTTGTCTCTTTAAGTGATTCTGACTCTAATTCTTCCTCCTTAGGTTCTATAGAAATCATGATGGAGACAGTTTCCCCCCTTTGATCTCGAAGTTATGGGCTACAAAACTAGCTCAATGGATGATGAATAGATCGTAAAGCTCTGGTCTCTAATGGACATTTCTTCCACCAGTAACGAGGATGATGTCATCTTGGAATCCTATGAATCTTGGGAACGAGTGTGTATACTTCGTCCAAAGGGCTCTGAAGAAGAGTTCTTTTATTTTTATATCGGGATGTTAAAGGATTTCAAGACATGTTTTCCTTTTTCAGAATTTGAGGTAGACATACTGAAGACTATGAACGCCACACCCTCCTAGCTTCCCCCTAACAGTTGGGGCTTCATAAAATCCTTTGAAATAGTTTGTGAGGCGTTGCATATTACTCCCATCGTAGGTTTATTTTTTTCTTCCTTTGAGGTAAAAGGGGTCGAGAAGTTAACATGGATTCAGATTAGTGGTATTCCCCACAAGATTTTTCTTCAAGTGTATACCTCAAGTTACAAAGGGTTTAAGGATCGATTTATGCGAGCCAAGTGTGGACCGCGGTGCCCTGGGGTACTATATGCTCTAGACGAGCACCCGAGTTTTCCCCATTACTGGCTCTAGGTATACTTGACTCCTTCCGCATGATGAGGGTTACAGACATGATGAGGCTTCGACACACATTTCTTGTTCATCTATGGATGTTTCTACATAAGCAACTCTTTCTTTCCTATGGTTCTTGTTTGCTCTAGCCTTTTCGATTTTTAAGTGTTCCACTTGTCGAACTCTATCTGCCAATTGGGCCATATCCCTTAAGTAATGGGGATCCGATTTCTTTCTGGTGGAGAAATCTAATCCTCTCGCGGCCATTTCAATTAATTCATGTTCAGGTACCTAGGTGAAACATCTTGCTTTTAACATGCGGAATCTGTTTAGGTAATCATCAACTGGCTCACTAAACTTGCGCTTAATGCTGACCAATTCACTGAGACTTATCTTCTACTGACCTACATAGAATTGTTCATAGAATAGTCTTTCTAAACACGCCCGATCATGGATAGAACTTGTTGCAAGGGTAGTAAACCATGTAAACGCATTTTTGGTTAGTGAACTAGGAAAATATTTTATCCTTAGGTTCTCATTGTTTGCTATGTCCCCAGCCTCGATAAGATACCTGACTATATGTTCGACAGTTGATTTACTGGTATTACTAGAGAATTTTGTGAACTTTGGGACTTTCCAACCCCTAGGAAATTCAGTTTGTAAAATGTATTCAGATAAGTGAGAAGTATAATTTGGTCTAGTAAGGCTTATATGCACACCATTTCGTGCCATAATATTTTTGACCATGGCTGCCAGATTGTTATTTGCTGCTACGTTGTTCTGTCAAACTTTATATAAAACTTCATCAGCATTTTGGTTTCTATTTACCATCATAACTCTAGGTTTTGGTTTCCTAAGAATCTATGGTTCCTACCTAAAAGGTTCAGCCCTAGGTATTTTGACATTCGCAAGCCTGAGTACTTCGACTACCCCTCCTTGATTCATCATATTTTCTTGAGGTGGATTTCTTTGATTTTGTTGAACTTGGTTAATTGTTGGATATTCTTCCAAGACTAACCCTTGGTTTTCCCTAACCCACTCCCTCTGAGGATGTGTTGTTGGTTGGGGTACACCAAAAAAGTCAGTGATGCGCGTCATTTATGCAGTCATCTGTTGGTTCGCTTAAGTGGTGTTCTAGATCAAAGGGTTGAAGATTGTACCCGTAGTTTATGCAAGCATCTGGACCATTTCATGATTACTCTCGTCCATTTTCTACCAAATCACTCTTGTAGATTGATTTGTTAAGTTTGGTATTTGGGATGAAACTCCTTCGATTGGTGGTTGGATATTTCATCCCATGTTATTAATTGCAGATCTAGAACCTTGTAATGGCGAAGTCACGTTCATCACAGGATCTGAATATGTTGAAGTAGAATTATGTAACCCCATCATAAACAAAGATGGCATGCCATAAGGCTGTTCACGACCATTTTGAGGCATGGAAAAACCAGGTGGCCACTAAGGTCTATGAAAAACATTTCCCCCTGGAGGGGGGTTCCTTGTGAACCCTGTGGTCCTATGTAAGTTAATAGAGGGAATGCTTAAGTATTCGACTGTGTTAGTGATCAGGACTTTATGAGTCTATTGGGATACTAACTGCAAGTATACAATTTAGTCGTTCTAGTTTTAAATGATTATCGAATCCACATAGACTGAGGATCAATCGCATATGATGTAATGCTACAATTGTTTAACTAAGCGATGAATATTTGATTTTAGGGGGAAATAGTTTAATTAAAAATAATAGTAATAGTTATACCAGTATGTGATAGTCGGACTTCGGGAATTCGGTGAATCGCTTGGCATATAAAGTATTTCAGTAAAAATGAATTATTTAAAAACCTGAGACATACACTTTCGTGTTCATGAAATAAGTCATGCTACTAAACCTAGTGGATGCACTTTAAATTTAATAACACTTTTTGAAAACAATTTAAGTTTAATTAATTTATTAAAACAATCTCATGTATTTAAAAATTAATGTTTCGTTACCACTATCTGGGTTGAACCCCAGCTCTCGCATGCAGGTTCTTGCCTTAATTAATTTCCCACTCTCGTGCCAAAATCGTGTTAATTATCCTCTCACTCCCGTGACAAGGGTAGTTAAATTAAACATGGAAATTGGAAACCAGAAATTGTTTTATAAATGTTTTTAGCCAAGTTATCACTGAATTCCTTCGGTACTTAGGAGTCACATACCGGTACAATTAATTTAGTCGGACATAATATATTTAATAACTATGCAATTTAAAATAATTCATAAAAATAAATGACATAATACAAGAATAAATAAATATTAATTGCATAAAAAAACCTGTAAATAATGTTGCTATGGTAATCTTGGATGTTACAAATTCCTTGCAATTCAATCGAAATCTATAACTGTGTTAATTCTTAGATGAAGAATTAACACTCTAAAAGCTAATTCTGAAAATAAGAATTACAGTACGAATGAAAATGGTTCAAAAATAAATAATATAGTTTAATGTAGAAAAGCAGCAACTTTGGTCTCTGGAAAAATTCTTCGACCCTCATCCCTTGAACTACCACATATATATATATAGAAGAAAATATTGCAGTTGAGAAAATCTTGGAAAAGGCTTGAGTGGAGTAAAAACAGGATGCATGGTTACTGAGTGGAGGAAATATAGGAGAAGAGTTCAGCCCTCACGTTGCCCACGTCTCCACTAATTCATAACGTTGCCCATTACGCGCGTGACGGTCGTCACAAGGGGGTGACGGTCGTAATGCGCTTAAATAGCGCATTACGCTCGTCAATGATGTGTGACGAGCGTTCTTTCTAATTATGGAGGCGTGACGGTCCTCACAGGGTGTGACGGTCGTCACAGCTACAAAATCTGCAGACTTTGCAGATTTGGTTCTTTCTCTTCTGTTTCTTGGTTAGCTTCCTTCATGTGGTCCTTTTTCACTGATTTGAGTTGACAAATGTTGTATCTGTGAAAAGACACAAAAAATCGGAATAATCGGGAGTTAAACGACTCAATGTATTATGAAAATCGATAGAAAGTGTAGTAATT